ACATGGCATCCTAATATAGATCAAACATACATTCCAAACTGAGATCAGCCATGGCACCCTACCTAAGATCAAATATGGCATCCTAGCATAGATCAAACATACATTCCAAGCTGAGATCAGACATGGCACCCTACCTAAGATCAAATATGGCATCCTAGCATAGATCAAACATACATTCCAAGCTGAGATCAGACATGGCACCCTACCTAAGATCAAATATGGCATCCTAGCATAGATCAAACATGAAAACATATCATACATCAAACATATCATCCATGCTTCAATCAAACATGGCATCCTAGCTTAGATCAAACATGGCATCCCATCAAATATGAAAACCTAGCTGAGTTCAAACGCATGGCATCCTACCAGTTGGCAAAAATGGCATTCTACCTGAGATCAAACATGGCACCCTACCTGAGATCAAACATGGCACCCTACCTAAGATCAAACATGGCACCCTACCTAAGATCAAACATGGCACCCTACCTAAGATCAAACATGGCATCCTACCTAAGATCAAACATGGCACCCTACCTCAGATCAAACATGGCACCCTACCTAAGATCAAACATGGCACCCTACCTAAGATCAAACATGGCATCCTACCTAAGATCAAACATGCCACCCTACCTCAGATCAAACATGGCACCCTACCTAAGATCAAACATGGCACCCTACCTAAGATCAAACATGGCATTCTACCTAAGATCAAATATGGCACCCTACCTCAGATCAAACATGGCATTCTACCTCAGATCAAACATGGCACCCTACCTCAGATCAAACATGGCATCCTAGTACGAATCAAATCCCTATGTTTTGTTCAGGAGAAGAATGTGGTCTTTCCAGATGAAAAAATAGAGTAGCTTTCCTTGTTATGACAGATTTTTCTCAACAAAGAGGTTACCAGATACACTGAGAGATGTGTTACTGGATCAAGAGTGTTTTGAAAGGTGGTAACAAGCTTGAGACATTCAGATTGTATCATGGGCCGTGTGAGATATTTGTTTGATGGCAGAATGCTGTATGAAAAGACTACAATTACCATGACAAGATTGAACTATATTGCTTACTGCAAAGATATTTTGTGAGCACACAAAGAATCACTGCATACAAGATACATATGTAGCTGTAGATGCTGAGTAATGCCTGGACTATATTGTTTTGGAACCATCACAACATTATTCTATGATTGAAGTGCTTTGTAAATGTCAGTCGGTCATAGACTTCACATTGTACTAGAAAACAGCCAGACAGCATTAATATATCAAATGAAGTGGCACTTGTTTTACATCTATATCTGTGACATGCTAGTTGTTTTAACTGTCCTTCGTTGACAGGTTTTTATAATCTAAGTTTATGTATCACTAATGTATAACTTGTTTTAGTCGTGATATGGCTGAAATAGTAGACCGTTTAAACAAATACTATAATCCTTGTGCTGTGTAAGTATAACTGTAGTAGACATATAAACAAATAACATAAACCTGATATTAACCAAAACATTTCATTCTGTACTGCTATTTTTATGATCATAAGAATTTGTAAGGTTTAAATTTAGAAGCCAGCAAATTCATTATGCATTCCTCATAGACTTTGAAAAGTCGTCATGGCAACAAGTGAGTTTGGAATCCTTCTTGGAAATGAAATGAGGGAGAATGGTCAGGAACTCTCTACCACGGTAAATTGTATTGATCTTTTGATATAGAATATCGTGCAAAGTTGTAACTAACATAAGAAGTCAGAATTCGTCGCAATCAACAAAACCACAACATTTACTGAAGTGAAAAAGAGACTTGATGAGGACTAAATCACATAATCATTTACCAAAATGATAAAGACGCCATTTAAAGTGTTTGTGGTAGTATTTTACACAAACGCTTGACTGCCCTGAAGATTCTTATTCTCGCTGGGAATATGTACCCTTGCAGCAAGTATCAGCAGAGCGACAGCCCACATATCATATACACATCAGCTAGCTGGGCCTTTTTTACATCAATATATTGAGCAGGATCAGACCTCAAGAGTAGCAATAACACTGACCTACATTTGACTACAGTGAGAATTGCACCAATATTTGTGTTCATGTACAAATAGAATTTGTGTGAAAAAATACCAAATTGCTCTTCCGATATTTTCTGTATGTTGTGCATCAATAGAAGATTTTTGCATTTCTCCTTTTAGTACTATGTACATTAGCTGGTTCTACATTTCCTGGCGTGCTGGCTTTGGATGCTGCATGCTCTTTAAAAAAGTTGATTTGTGTTGGAGGTGGATTATGGCTGAATAAAACCTACAGGGTGACGTCAACGATTAATTCAAATGCATCTTATGATTGGGCCACATTAGTTACATCCAGTAAACTTACCGGACTGATGGCAAACTGAGTTTACATGGACTCAGCCTATTAATAGTTTAGCATAGAAATGTAAAGATAAACTGAAAGTTGTACAGCATTGCAGGTGGCATGGGTGGTCTAAGGTGTCAACATACGTCATGCAGAATGTAGCATGGTTGGTCTAAGGTGCTACGATAGATCATACAGGTGACATGGATGGTCTAAGGTGCTACTATAGATCATACAGGTGACATGGGTGGTCTAAGGTGCTACTATGGATCATACAGGTGGCATGGATGGTCTAAGGTGCTACTATAGATCATACAGGTGACATGGTCTAAGGTGCTACTATAGGTGCTACTGATAGATCATCTACAGGTGACATGGATGGTCAGGTACAGGTGCTACTATAGATCATACAGGTGACATGGATGGTCTAAGGTGCTACTATAGATCATACAGGTGACATGGATGGTCTAAGGTGCTACTATAGATCATACAGGTGACTATGGGTGACATGGTCTAAGGTGCTACTATAGATCATACAGGTGACATGGATGGTCTAAGGTGCTACTATAGATCATACAGGTGACATGGATGGTCTAAGATGCTACTATAGATCATACAGGTGACATGGATGGTCTAAGGTGCTACTATAGATCATACAGGTGACATGGATGGTCTAAGGTGCTACTATAGATCATACAGGTGACATGGATGGTCTAAGGTGCTACTATAGATCATACAGGTGATGGATGGTCTAAGGTGCATATGGTCTACAGGTGCTATTATAGATCATACAGGTGACATGGATGGTCTAAGGTGCTACTATAGATCATACAGGTGACGTGGATGGTCTAAGGTGCTACTATAGATCATACAGGTGACGTGGATGGTCTAAGGTGCTACTATAGATCATACAGGTGACATGGTTGGTCTAAGGTGCTACTATAGATCATACAGGTGACATGGATGGTCTAAGGTGCTACTATAGATCATACAGGTGACATGGATGGTCTAAGGTGCTACTATAGATCATACAGGTGACGTGGATGGTCTAAGGTGCTACTATAGATCATACAGGTGACATGGATGGTCTAAGATGCTACTATAGATCATACAGGTTACCTGGTCTAAAGATTACTATAGTCATACAGGTTACCTCGGTTCGATTTCCTCCCTGGGTACAATGTGTGAAGCCCATTTCTGGTGTCCCCTGTTGTGATGTTGCTGGAATATTGCTAAAAGCAGCATAAAACTAAACTCGCTCATTCAGGTGACTTGAGTTAGTCTAAGGCGCCACCATAGATCATGCAGAAGGTGGCGTATTTGGTCTAAGGTGCTACTATAGATCATATAGGTGGCAGGGGTTGTCTAAGGCGCCACTATAGGTCATACAAAGGTTTACACATGTGGTCCAGGGAGGTAGGATAAAACAACAGCTCTGTGGGTATGTTTCATGGGTTCAAATGTTCTCCTGTGACTCACTAAAGTAGAAATTGTCATCAATCTTCGTCACCTGGGACTTTCTTCCGACGAAGCATCATTAAAATCAGTTACTTGTTTATATTGCTATGATGTTGCTTACAGCAGGCTCACTCACAATAAATATGTAGTCGTTTCATCTTAAGCAAGATTTGCAATTCATTACTGTTGAATCTCAGATACATGAACAGTCAGTAGGGATATCTTTGAAGTATGCATTATTGTACAGAAAATAATGTTGTGCTTTTGAGGGAGGGTGTCATTAAGTGCATCCCGCAAAAATGACATATTGGTTTCAGGTTTCAGTTCAGATAATTGTACTCTCCATTCATAACTGATAATGAAATAATCATGTTATGAAAATTGAGCAGACAGATAGAGCGAGCGTTTGAACTCTCTCCAACCACGGAGCTATAAACACCATCCCCTACCACCAAATTGTGATCACTCCTGATGGATTAATCATACAGACAGATTCAGTGGTTCTGTTCAATGAACAAAGACGGAAATATGGTATAAAATACATCATTTATCGACATCACAAGACTGTTTCGAGTCTTCTCCTACAACTCTCGTTGTCTTGTAATGGAGTATTTAAGCACTTTAGCTTGGTGTAATGCTGCCAGACAATTTTCTGGATCTAACATCTTTGGCTACTTGAGACGGCCATATTAGTCGAAAACTGACAACATAATACGATTGTTTGTCCAGACAAGCTATTGTTATGAAATTGGAAAGTGTCATTTTTGACTAATCGCTGTGTCATATTTATCCCATCTGCCTTGTACATGATTATTAGACTTGCCAAGCGTCTTTGAAGTTTGCGTAATGCATTGATGTAAGGGATTCTGCCAGGCCTTTCTATTTGGCAGCCATTATTCCTCAGTGTTTTAGTAAGGAAATGCTGGGATTGAACTAACAAGAAGCTCCAGACACTCCTGAGATATTTTTACACTTGTTTTATTTTAAGAGATTCAAGACAAATGCCATTTGTCATGGTTTGGTTTTCTTCTACTTCTGATGAAGGTTTTGCTGACGTTTTCTGTCAGTGTTCTCCTGTGAAGTGCAAAGCCTTGTTTCAGGTGCATGTATACTAATGGCCCTTGGGTCAAGAACACTTCATGTCAGATAAAGTTGATTTTATTCTATATTTTTTTTTTTTCTTTTTCTTCAGGTTTTGCACGTGGTAGCTAAAGAGACGATCGGATAACTCAAGAGTTAACATCAATCTGGACCTGGAAACTAAGGCAAGCCGATTTTGTTGTTCTTCCATAGCCATACTGATCAATGCTTTTACACAGTCAAACTCGTAATTGCCTGACAAGACAAAACTGAAAAAGATATAAATGTACTGTGGTCTTGGTGAACTAGTCTGTCTCAAAATCCCTGAACCATATTATGTTCCCTACAGCCTAGCCCTCCCTGCAAAACTAAAGCCCTAAATGAAGCAAGTCTAGATTTCTCCATGTTCTGGTCTCCCTAGGGCTCCTTTTCAATTTAAATGGGTTTATTTGTTACAATCAAAATTATACATGTTCAGAGACTAAGTGTTAGTCTATTGGTGAACGTACACCACTTCATCGCAGCCAACCAGCATGGAATCTAGGCCTGCATATGTCCTCTTGACCCCATGCTTGTACAATCATGGAGTGTAATAGGCTTGAGTGACTGCAGCATGTTGTTGAAGTGACCGTGCATCATTAGACTCGACCACGCTGATGAAGCCCATGCTGTCGCTGATGAAGCCCATGCTGTCGACTACTTTGTCATGCTGTACAGGCCACTGCACCATTAAACAGTGATCTCAGGGTGCTTGCCTCAAGGTGCTACTTTACATACTTCCAACCGAGGATCCACAGATGATGTAGGTCAGCTCTCTTCCATGCTGAATCCCAAATAGTCCTGATATTGCTAAGATACTCCTTGGCCATTTCATATCCGGATATTGCTGGCATGCTGATAAACTGATTCTTTAACCTAATACTGCTAAGATACTGATGATAAACCTACTTTTTATCCCCGCAACACATTTTGACAAGATACTGATGATAAATCCACTTTTATCCTAATATTGCTAAGATACGGATGTTAAACCAACATTTTATCCTAATACTGTTAAGATATTAATGAAAGCATCCCTACTATGTTCTTTCCTTACCTTTTCCAAGTTGTTATTTTATTTTATCTACCAATAGTCTACATATTTAATATAGCTGCCCCATACCTGCTACTTTAAAGCAGGTTTCAATAGAAAGTCATCAGTGGATATTAATATTGTGTTTCACTATTCTTATCCCTTACTTTATTAACTACACTACAAATGAAAATATATCACACATGAAGACCAAAGAAATCTCATATCAGATTTCATTTGCTGATTCTCTGCAAACAATAAGCAAACGTAACATCCACCACAGGGATGACTCAATATGACTAACCTGATTACCGCAATGAAACCAGTTGGAAGAGTTATCAGAATCTATCGAGGTATCTTTGAAGTACAAATGTCATAAATGTAACAGTATTTCCTCTGGATCGAAGGCAGTGCAACAACTGCATATTGGCCCTTTGATCTTCTGGACATAAACGCATCATGCGCGGAATTGTCAAAGCCGACACCTTTTAATGGTTGACCAGTCAGGCAGCAAACACGTTCACAACGTTTGTTTCATCCTGAGAGCTAAGTAAGTCCTTACAGTTCATCAGTGACATGAAACAAACCAGCCTGAAATCATTGCTCCAGTTGTGACAGTTTCAGAAGTACTTCTCTGTCTTTCCTTGCTGAAACTTTCACTTGAGAAGAGTCAGAAGATGTTGTTCAGCTCAAAGGGCAGGACGTCATGGGCTCAGATAGTCTAAGGGGGATGGAGGAGTAGCTCCAGGATAGAAGGGTTAGCCACAATAACAGGCTTGGGTTTTATCCTAGACATGGGCATGATATATACAGATGTATAACTGTTATTCTCTCTCCCTCTCTCTCCCTTTCTCCCTCCACCCATCCATCCATTCTTCCCTCCCTACACATGCATGCACATCGTAATACGTTGTAAAACCCAATTTCACCTCACCTCACCTCACCTCACCTCACCTTATTCGGCCTGTACAACAAAGAACAATTAGGACTGTGTGAGTTGAGTTTTACAACAGGGATCAACAGCATGAGCAACCAAGTCAGCGAGCCTGACCACCTGATCCTGTTTACGACAAGCATGAGTTACTGAAGACTAATTCTAACCCAGATGTTCACGGGTTGTTGTAAATATCAACCTATCATGGTAAAATAGATTAACTATAGTAACATGAAGAAATATGTTGTTCTTTAACTTCTTTTGAGTAGAATATATGTTCAAATCATGCTGTCTATCCCAGAAACACCCTCTTTCTCTTCACTCTGTTATGGTTCCCACACTCCCAAACCTCTTTCCATCAAGATCAGTTGTTTCACAGCAGTTTATGCAAAGCCTCTTTGCTAATTGGCAAAAACTCAACCTATTTTACAACCCTGTTTTCTGAATTTGAGCTATTTCATTGGGCGTTGTATTCTGACTCCAATATGATAAAAACAAAAGATTCAGGTACTCAAGCTGCTTAAACACATAATGAACATTTGGTATTCCCACGTATCCCCAATGATTCTTTACGAATATCATGTCTGACAAGTCTAACTCCTGTCAGCTGATTCTGCTGTGCAACATCCAATTCCCTCGTCAATAAAGGCAGGTAACTCGTCGATCCTGTTAATGTTTTCCTGGGGATGGAATCTTCTAATGAAACACACCTTGATGTAATCGCGTTTCACAGTCACCAAGTCTGGTCCGCTAATGCAGGCAGTCTTGTGGAAAAGCCTATCTGCATGTTGTGTGGGACTTGTGAAGAGCGTGCATGTTTCATGCATCACGGCACAGTCTTGTAATATCATTATGTCTGTGGCGTCATCAGAAACCCAGGCTTTGTTAGAGTGACTGCAACCTGATGTGGTGCGAAATACACACCACCTCATCAGGTGCGTAAGACTTATACAAACTGATGCTTGTGATAATTGTAATTATCTGTGAAAAACAACAAAGTAATTACCTTTGGATTTCAATGGACTAGATGTGTCTTTTTGTCGGAATAAAGCCCTGCAAAGACAAATTGTTGAAATGATGCCAAGTGAAGAGAAAATGGTAAAACATCTCAAAAGAAGGCACCAAATTGGCTCAATTACAGCATCAGCAAATCTCTTAAAAAGCAAGCTTCCCATCAATACCATATTTTTTCACGAAAATTAGAAATTAAAGAAGCTTTGATTTCAGAATGATGGCACTTCACATGATGTCAAAATTTCTGGAATGGTCTTTGAGGATGACAAGAGAGCCCGAAATGAGAGGGGAATCTTGATTATTTATGAGGTATTGTGCAGCCATGTCCAAACGTTCCATATCTCAAGCAGTGTATTATACTGTGACAGCCTGAACAAGCTCACTGGAATTATACACACCTTGCTCCCATCACATTTCATGCCTCTCTGGCCTGGTGTGTTCATTTGCCCAGCCGCTCGGAAAACTACTCAGAGGTCAGGAAAGATGCATACATTACGTAGGAATCGGTTTCATCCTCACTTAGGCAATAATGGAGGAATAATTTGTATCAGGGAATAAGGGGATGGTCCTTAGAAGCTGCAACATTATCTTGGTTCAGGAGTATGCTGTGCGTTGTGTCTGATCCAGGGATTTACCGTATGCAAATGTCCAGAGGATGTTGATTTTTTGAGGTTTGTACTTGCAGTAGTGAGTGACTTTGAAATAGTATTTCAGTCTATATACAGGCCAAGTTCCATGGGTAACTTCTTCATTCTTTGCAACAATGTTTGAGGGACAGTTCTTGCTGGTTAATCTAGTAAACATTGTTTTTTATCATATTGTGACGTCTGCTTCATGCCAGTGACTGCAGAATTGTACTTCAGTCTGCATGCTGGACTGTTTTTCTAGATAACTTCTTGATTCTTTTCAACAATGTTACAGCTACATTTCTTGCCCCTTAATATTGCTTTTTAGTCATATTGTGACGTCTGCTTCATGGTAATTCTATTGTAGAGCACATAGGGGGGGGTTTAGCCTAGTGGTTATAGCTTTCTCGCTCGTCGTGCCAAAGACCAAAGACCTGGGTTTGATTCCCCACATTAGTACAATGTGTGAAGCCATTTCTGGTGTCGCCCACTGTGATATTGCTGGAATATTGCTAAAAGCAGCGTAAAACTAAACTCACTCACTCAAAGCACATGGATACATAGTGATGAGAATCTGGTAGATTATGGGATTCGAACTTAGAACTTTTCATTACGTTTTTGCAAACAGTCTGCTAGAGGATGGTCTGTGGGGGCTATCTGAACTATATGAATATTGTAGCATTCTGGTAGCCGTGAAAAGCAGGTGGGATTTGAGAAAAGCATATGTGAAATGTCTTGGTTACATCCCCAATTTCGTGGATGAAACAAGCATGTGTCCGTCATGACGAACTGAGGAACATGTATCGTAGCCCGACATACCTGGCACGAGTCCAGACTAGTTAAAGCAGCCACACACATACCTGCTTGCACAGCACTATTGGAGGGAACTAATCCAGAACATGATGTTAATCCCCATTCAACCTCTCTTCATCTCACAGATGTGTAAAAACAGTTGATTCCTACAGTCTTGTGATTGGTTTATCAGTTCCAACAGTTGTGTCATTACAGTAAAAACAAGTAACACTGTATTTTTGTTCAATTATTGCACCAATGCAATATGCCAGGTTTCCATGTGACTGCAATGCCACCTGGTACCACAGAATGAATGATATTCTAATTTACATGGAAGACTGGTTCCAATACTACTGACAACAGAATTAATGTTCACACTCACTTGAATGCATATTGTGATCTGTTCACCATAATAACTTAACTAATTTCACAGACCATTGTGCAGTATGAAAGCCATCTTATCTGTGATATGATATGGAGAAAGAAATGCACTGAATGAATTTTTCATGAGCCAGGCATAAGCTGCTACACCATACCTCTTCTTCCTTCCATATTAAACCCTGTATATTTGATGGCAATAGTAAGATCAATGCTTGTGCTAATCATAGGAATGAAATCAAAGGGTTTTCACTCATGAATTTTAAATGGAGATGACACTCTAGAATGCAGGATCACAAGGCCACAGTACTTTATACCTGATTGATCATTATGGGTCTACATGAAATTCACTTCTCTGTTTAGGATAGCC